TTCTAATTCGTTAATGCATTTATCATGTTCGTATTTTTCATCGAGAGATAGGAATGTCGCATGAGGGGAATATATTTAATTGCTATCGAGTGAAGCTTTTAAATAAATTTGAAACTTCGATCAATTTGCATGATAACAAATTGTCAATTTAATTGTTCAACTAAAAATGGATAAACAGGGGGAATTTTAGATCTTAGCAATGTTTCTCAAAAATTTGATAAACTCTTACTTTAATTTCTTATACATGATAAATTAGATATAGATTTATTACAAATATTATTGCTATTCGATTAAGGGCATTATTAACTTTAACTCGATCAAACACGTAGTTCTCGTGTGTTTGACACTTTTCACATTACTATATTACTTGATCACGACCCCGTTCACTTGCGAGAAATCAAACGATCAAGAGTATCGCCTAGATACCTCCTTAAAATTGATCTTTCGAAGGCATACGATTCTATTGATTGGGAATTTCTGAAATCTTTTTTGGAGGGATTGGGATTTTTGAACATATTTATTCAATGGGTGATGGTATGCATCTCAACTCCCTCGTTCTCAATTGCAATTAATTGTAGCACGTATGGGTTTTTCAAAGGTAAAATGGGCATAGGATAAGGAGTTCCCTTATTACCCTTCTCCTTCGTTATTTGTCTTCAATATCTTTCAAGAGTATTGAAACAGCTATGAATAATACAAAGTTTAATTATCATCTGAAGTGTGGGCTCTTGAAAATCACACATTTGGATTTTGCGGATGACTTGATGTTGTTTGCTAGAGGCGATGTTATTTCAGTGTGTACATTGATTCATTGTTTATCCAAGTTTGGTGATTGTTCAGGACGAAGGATGAATGCAAATAAATCCAACATATTTGCCGCTGGAATTCAGGGCAAGACTTGGATGAAATCCAAAAGTTAGTGAACATGCCACGGTGGTCCATGCCTTTTAAATATTTAGGGATTCCGTTAGTTGCAGGGAAATTGAAAGTCAGCCACAATGCACCCTTTTTTGATAAATCGCTGCATATATACATGCTTGAGTGAGCACTTCATTATCTTATGCCCGGAAGGTTGAATTGGTGAGATTTATATTGTAAGGAGTTGAATGCTTTTGGTTATCTATATTTTCGATTCCGAACCACGGTCACCTTGAGGATTATACGGCTTTGCCGGTATTTTCTTTGGAATTCCAAAAAATCACTAGTTGCATGGTCTGATGTTTGTCTCCCCAAAAGAGAGAAATGATTGAGATTTCGAGACGTTAAGCGTTGGAATAATGCACTACTAAACAAGTCACTATGGAACATACATGCGAAGAAAGACACACTTTGGATGCGGTGGATCAATCATGTGTATTTGAAAAGGGCATCAATATGGTCACCTAGGAAGGATAATTCACCTACTCAAAAAGATACTGTCCATTGCAGGTTGCATTAAGCATACTAAAGGATCAACTCGGGTTGCTTGCCAAAAACTTTCAGATTAGATCCATGGAGATAATATAAGCGTTGCTAAAACTTATGATTATTTTCGACTGAAGGGAACACCAACGACTTGGGAAGATATTTGGAGCATGTATCACTCCTAAACATTCATTTATCCTTTAGCTTAGTGCAAAAACTAAGCTCCTTACTAAAGACCGTCTACAACACATGGAGATTGACAATAGATGCATGTTTTGTCAAGTTTTGCTGAATCAGTCCAGCATCTATTCCTTCAATGTGGCTATTTGAAGCTGGCTCGAGATCGCTAGAGCCATGTCTTCGATACCCTGTGCTTTGAAATGGATCAGGGAGGGATGTGTGTTATCTTGACAAAGCAAGACCAAGAAAATTCCAATGGCAAGAGCCGTTTATCATATTTGGGCAGCTCGAAACGGGCCGATCTTTGAAAACTGTATTCCGATAGCATTGTCAGACAATAAAAACATGCGTATACAATGTTATATTTTCATTGTATCCTCATGTTTTGTTTCGTTTCGTTATGAATCTTTAGCAATGGGAATTTAGATTGATATCATTGGTACATCTTTGAAACTTGTAAGCTCGGGTATGCCTAGAGTATTTGTTCACAGCTTATGATCTATACAATTTTTTATTGGGAAAATTGCAACTGTGGTCCCAAACCTTTCTCTTTTTGCAGACTTTACCACAACTTTCACTTTATGTCATCCACAGTCTCAAACCTGTCATATTGTTGCAGCACAAGTACAAATGGACGGATTCCGTCCGTTTGACCGTTAGTTCACTAAAAAAGTCAAAATTAGCCGAATTCAGTAAGGGTGCGTTTGATTGCAAGGGTGGAAAATGGGTGGAAAGAAAATATTTTATAGGGAAAAGATTTGCCTAGAAAATGTTTTGCAGGAAAAATGATTTCAAGTGTGTTTGATTGGTATAATTTTCCACCCGGAAAATTTTTAAATTTTCTATTCGTTTGACTTTGTTTNAAAAAAAAAAAATTGAGCAGCCGGCCGGAAAATATTTTCCCACCAAAATGGTGGGAAAATATTTTCAAGGATTTCGTGGAAAATGCTGACGTGGCGGGTGGGGTAGGAAAATATTTTCCGTGGTATATTTAGGTTATCAAACAATGCAAAAGATGAAAAATGGAAAAAATTTTCGATGTTCCATGGAAATTGTGGCTAATCAAACACAGCCTAAGGGCAAAATGGAAACTTCAGAATTAATATTTTCCCAAATATTATTAACAACTAAATTAAAAAAAAAAATATGCCCCCCACCCCCACCCCATCTCTCTCCTTCGACCACCACATTTCCACTTACCACCACCGTATCCTTTTTCCCAACAATTAGACCTGCCTAGATCCTTCATCCACCGTCACCACTCCCATCAACTCCTGCGTGGCCTCCATTTCCTTCCTCCAATGTCACAACTCCCATTAATAAACACAAATTTATACACAGATCTATCAATAATGGCAACTTCGTCTTGGCTTCCTCATCCTCGCCGTAGATTAGCTCTTCTCTAGCGACGAACTCCGCCAAGCAAATGGCGCAGTCAGAGAACTTCTTGGCTTCCTCATCCTCGCTGTAGATTAGCTTCTGTATGGATTTCNCGCCGTAGATTAGCTTCTGTATGGATTTCAAGACCTTCTTTTTGAGTCCTTTGTTGGCAGGCGTGGATGGACTTTATTTAGATGGAATTGTGTTGGATAGTTCATAGATGGAATTTATCATTTCTCGAGTTTCCTTTTGTTTTATGATTGTTCGGATTTCCAATGGTTCCTCATTTTTGGAGTTCAAAATTCATCTAATAACAATCCAATTTCAAACTTTGGCATTGAAATTTCAGAAACCCACGTGCATTCTTAGATGATTTTGCCTCCAGTTTGGCTTATCTTCGTCAAAATCCATTCCTCAACTTTTCAAGCTATTTGAAGTTTGAGATCAAAAAATTGGTGGAACAAGATAGACTAATTGCAGGTTTGATTTGGTGGGAGAAAATGGGGAAAATGAAGAATGGTTTGGTAAGAAAGTTGTGGCGGAGGTGGTTCAGTGGCTGTGGTTCGGTTCAGTTCGGTGGTGGACTGGAGATGTAGGTGGAGGTGGAGATGATGAAGATGGGGTGGGGGTGGCGGCATTTTTTTAAAAATTTAATTGTTAATAATATTTGGAAAAATATTAATTCTGAAGTTCTCATTTTGCCCTCGTCGAATTTTGTCAATTTTGACTTTTCTGATCAACTAACGATCATACGGACGGAATCCGTCCATTTGTACTTGTGCTGCAACAATATGAAAGGTTCGAGATTATGGATGGCACAAAGTGAAAGTTGAGATAAAGTTCGCAAAAAAAAAGAGAGAAAGGTTTGAGACCACAGTTGCAATTATCCCATTTTTATTTGCTAACAAAAAAATTTTTAATTAAATAATACCAGGTACAAACCTTTGTCGGCCTTAGACTTGGTCAATTTCATACTATCCCATTTCCACCACAGAAAAGTCAAATATGGGAAAGGTTCCACCATTGATCTATTTTCTTCGGTAGTTGGTCTAATTCCACAAACAAATAGCAGCCAATGTTGGTCTTCTCAATGATTATGCCAATATTTGAATTTTATGAGTAAAAAATTGCAGCCACAAATAGTAGACCTTCATGCGAGTCATTTTCTCCTTTTTTCTTTTTTCTAAAGACCCATTATACCTTGAGCGAAAGAAATCTCACCCCACCTTTCCTTTCTTAACTCCCATGTCACCAAACTCACCGCATGATGACCGGACAGGGAAATGTCTATTAAGCTATGGTCGATAAAACAGTACAGTCAACATCGTATTCGTGTGACCTGCATTAATATCTTTTGATCCATGCTGGGAGGTTGTTAATGCCTTACATTCAAGGATGAACTTCCATCATGTGACCTTTCCATCATATAACCTCTATTTATCGATGCTGTGAACTCATGTTTAAGTAATTTGCGGCCTAATGTATGCAACATTCAAAGAGTTTTGTAACGTGAGTATATCCGCTAAACTTCATATTTACTTCTCGAGTTCTCGTAAGCTTATAATAGAAAAGAAAAAGACTCAATAGAATGAAAAGTCGCATAAATAATAAATTAATATATAAATAAAGAGATGGGGTTGAAAAGCACTCTGTGAACACAATATTGAATCCAATGTGAAACAAAGCTAAGGAGCTATTTCTAGTTTTGGTTCAAAACAAAAACCAGTAAAAAGCTGAAGGGGAAACCTCTTTGTCACAGGGCATTTCTGTGACCACCTCCATTGCTTAAGGTTCACATCAAAAATAAGTAGTGCAGGGGCTCCATAACTCTGGATAAATATGAGGTTGTCCATTCCGCTGCTAGCGAAAACTTCGTCCAACTCCCCGAAACCTTGAAAGAACCTATGGGGCATTCGGGCTATCTCTTGCCATTCTTTTCCTTTCAGAGTCCATATTCCAATACCCTTAATAATGCCGGAACAATCCTGTTTTCCAATTCCTCCAACCATTATGAGCTTTTCCTTTAGGTTCATCAAACGGCCACATGTAAGAGAACATGGAACCGGGATGGAACTTCTCATCAATAAACCACAGGACGATCCATTTTCTAGGTTATACAAGACCAGAGCATGGCGATTATTAGTACCACCACCAGTTGAGTATATCAGAAAGTACAAAATTCCATCGCAAATGATACTCTCGTCACCCGCTCTCCACCCAGTTAGAACCTCAGTCAAAGTTGTCGTCCACATCATTGTTTCCGAATTATACACGTGGATTGAGAGATCCCACTGAAAGAAATTTCCCTGAACTTGGTTTGATCTAACAATCGAGATATGATATTTATGAGATACTCTGTTCACCGAGATCGCCAATGCACTGTAATCGGAAAATTTTGGACCTGGTGGCTCGACAAGCCTCCTGTAGCATTTGGTTATTGGGTTACAGATGTACAATTCACTTCTGCTATCATTGTCCATGACGCAAACTAACCCAGACGAAGAAGAAACAAACCAATTGGATGTCTGAATGCAAGGGAGTTCAATGCCGTACCACTTTTGAAGTACGGAATCATATGCAAAACCAACGGGTTCGTCTGAGCTTGTAAACATAAAGTACCAAGGCTTCTGTGGAAGGACATGCAGAAAATTCTGAAGAAATCCCTTTGAAGTTACAATCTCGTGCCATCTTTTGCACACACAACCTGCCCTAACAATGCTTGCAACAGGAAGATATGCTAAAATCCTCTCCAACAGATCATTGGGTATAATTAAATCCATAGAAACTGCAGAAACTTCCATGTCACCTTCATCACTAATCTCAGAGAATGAATCGAACTCGACGGTTTCAGTCACAAAGTTATCCGTGCAATGACTGACCCATGAATTGTCCCTTTCCATATTCAAAGATTATGAAAACCTGAACAAATGATAATATCAAACAAAATTATTCCGGTCATTGATTAAAATCACGTCTACAATAATCCAACTACTCCCGTATTAGATAATAAAAGATTCAAAAGCTGCTCACCCAACAAATTATACGCGGAGAAAAACTAAGATGAAAAGAGTAAGAACGCATATTTCGGTTAATAGCCTCACATTATATCTATCAAGTGATCCAAATCACATTTTTTACAATGTTATCGATGAACTCAACTGCATTGAAGATAAATTTGGTAAAAAGGAAATTAAGAGTATATACAAGTCTACATTTACCAACTTCATAAAGGAAAAAATAAGATGAAGAGAGTATGAATATACATTTCACTTAAATAGCATCGCATCGCATCTATATCTATCTAGTGATTCAAGCCACGTCTTTAATATTACAAGTAAACCGAAAACTTCTTCTTCTTTTTCAACCACATATTCTCCAAAAAAATATTATTCCAAAAATTATAATACCAAATAATAGGGGCCAAACGGGGGTTAATACTCGCATGAGACATCCAATCCTCCGTACCAAAAATGTTATAAGTGAATTCAAGATAGAAAACACATGACTCAAAGATACCATGGGATTATCTGAAATCAAGGATAATTTTAGTAGAGAGGAGATAAAACAAGATCAGTCTAATCAACTACATGTTTGAGCAATGACTTTTTGAATTCGAAACCTTGCCTCCCAAGTACAGATCCCATTCCATTTCTTAGGAAAAAAAAAGGGAAAAACACACCCATTGGTTTTATTCAGCAAAAGGTTTAAACATTCAAAGAGATAATATTACCAATTGGGACAGTATAACAACTTCACTATATATGCAAATCAATGGATCACAATATTGCAGAGGGCAACCCTCGATTTTTATTTTTATATTTTTTTAAGAAAGATCAAAACTTATAATGGAAATCATGGTAGCTTAAATTAAAAAAAAAAAATTCTTCCAAGCAGCGGTATAAATAAAACACCAAAAATAGATAAAAATTTAACCAAAAACAACAGATGAAGTTGTATGCCAAGACATGCACAGATCTTGAAAAACACGAGAAATTATATAACCATATAAAAGAATTCTTGAAATGAAAAGACCTAATAACTGTACCTCTGATATAAAAATTTCTCCCTCAGCAACATAAAACAAATGGGCCTTCTTCGATTGCTTTAAATTGCTCAACATTTAACAGAAAAAGGGTAAAATTATAAAAATCGATACTGAAAGAAGGCATATCAGAGAGCAGCAAATTGGAGAGAGAGGTTGTATTTTAATAAAAAAATTGTTAGGTAGCTATAAATAGCAATATCGGGAAAAGGTATGGTTGTAAAATAAAAATTTAACATGTTACAATGGTCTCATTTGGCCAAATTTGTCGATCTACTTCGATTTTAATAAAATATTAACTAATAGAAGAGATAAAAGTTTGAGATGTTCTTATCAAAATTTTTTGTTTATTTATTTATTCTTAAAGATAATATTTATAGTTGCAAATAAAATGTAGTGATGTATTCTTAAAGACAAAACCAATCATGCTACATGTACAATGAAGGATGATAATGTTGGATTACCAACACTCACAATGGGAGAAGCCCACCTTTTTTTGAAATTTTTTAATCACGCGGAACCCGCATGCATGTGAGAGGTTGTCAACCTCCATTGTCAACCATCCATTGTACAAATAGAATTACCCTAACGAAACGAACTCTTTCTCAACTTCGAGTTGCTCTACGAATTGAACCACACCAAACTTTATTAAAAGAAGAGAGAAATTTGCCGCAGTCTAATACTTTACACCTAACATATAGTAACTCTTTGAGTCTTTTATGCATTCCTTGTAACTTTTGTATGCAATGCACCTAAGAATAGAACAAATCCATTGAACTAACATTTCAATTTCGTAAGTAGAATAGTTGGGCTTGACCACCACGGTACTGGCAGGAAGTTACTTATGTTGTCTTGTGAAAGCAAGAAAAAAAAGTCAAACCTAATGATTTTTTCATATTGGGATGTTCCGATGACGGTCTATACCGATACCTTGCTGCATAAAGTACTATAATTGATTTTTTAATGACAAGCGCAGATCATCGAGTGATTGAACCAACCCGTCTACGAGATTCTAATACTAGATCTTCTCTTGAATATGAGAAACTTCTATTTTATTATAAGGAAATGATGTTGGGATGGAGACGAGTTAATCAGTCTTGGGAATAGGAGATATTTTATATGTATTGCACATTATTATGGGCCAAATTCATTATATGAGCAATTGAATTTTGTATTATTGCCTAGCACCACTCAACCTGAAGGGTCGGCATGTTTCCATCTGATTCTGGTTCCAAGAAAATCGAATCATGAACCAATTTTTATTTCTTTTAATTTTTTATTTATAATTGAACAAAATGATTTCTTTTTTGAAGAAAATCGAATCATGAACCGAATTGTTCGATTCTAGTTTGATTTAGTTTAGTTCTAGTTTCCTTTTTTAAATTTTAAGTTAGTATTATACTTAAATAAGAAACAAATACAATATCAAACTTTCAGTAAGTTCAAGTTATCAATCATCAAGATTACAAAAGTCCAAACTAACAAATACAATATGATCATAATTTGAATACACAAATCAATTTTATTCCCATACAAAAGACTATTTAATAAGTAATAGCAATGATTAACTAAATTAATTACAGCTATTTTGGCAGCATATCCCTACAATAAATGATGAATTATGAAAAACTTTTACATCCACTTTTACAAGCAACCATTAATCGTTTAATACTACATGAATCTATATTGGATTTTCCTCTATTTGTGAAGAACACAAATAATTCATCAAACAATCAAAGTAAAAAAAAAAATAATAAATTTAAAGGGTTTTTAAGTGACTGATCAATGTTATTTCTCTATCTTGAAAGAGTCTCCTCCAGTGACATGATGAAATGAAGTGCTAGCGTGCAGCGACGTTGTGTAAATTGAAAACGAGTGAATGAGAAATGATTCAGATAAATACAAAATTATGGTGTGCACAATTAATGAGTTGTCTCCAATGATCTAAAATCGACTAATGGGTCATATTCAAGTAATGGACTATCTTTAATGAATACAAAATTAGGGTCTTCACTAATTAATATATATTAATTAGTGAACTTATTCACCGTAAGATTTGTAAAATTTATTTGAATAAATTCTGGTTCTCTATTCTAGAACTAAAATCGAACTAGAACCAAATGATTTTCGATTCAAAGAACCAGTTCTTGTTTGGTTTGGTCTCCATCCCTACTCAAACTTATTCGACGTAAGATTTGTAAAGTTTATTTAGATTGCATTTGTTGAAATCTACCGAAGACAGTCAAATAGATAGACTTGGTTCTCAACAATGGAGAATTAAGCTTTATAAATTATTGTTGTTTAAAGGTCACTATAGTTGTATTTCTTGCGCTTTAACTTTGTATTTCTTTATTTTTATTCTAAAAGATAATGTTTATAATTGCAAATGAAATGTAGAGATTGATGAAAGAGAATGACAATATATGAATTGTTCCTTATAGATCGGGTTGCTTCCCTAATTAATTAGGCAATCTATGCTTGTCTCATTTTCTTTTAAAGTGGATTAGACTGAACCATATAAAAAAAGATAAATAATATATATATATTTTTGGTCTATTATGTTATTCAATAGAGTCTTAATACTATGAAGTTAAACTATAGTACTCTTTAATTTGTGTACATGCATTGCGATTTGCACGTAACTAACTATAGATCAAATTCACTATACAAATATTTTCAATTTTTGAAGCAGATTAGTCGAACATATTCACTGCAAAACTTGCAAGGAGTTACTTGAATTGCATTGTGCAAAACAATCGTTGGCATATGGGAAACCAAGTAGCATGGCTACCAGGTTTCTTTTAGCGTTTGCAATCTGTCGATTAATCGTATAAAAAAAAAAAAACGAGTCCATACGGCTACAGCTGGAAAAAGAATCCAATTCAAAATAGAATCAATATGATAAGAAGGAAAATGCGTATTGTGAAAACAAGATGGAACGTGTGGGAGGATCTGACCTCAAGGCAAAGCCCATTTTGAAAGCAGGGCCTCGGGCGGAGCAGCTCTAAGAGGGGCATCTATCATGTCAGCGATGATAAAAGTGATAATGGTCCCAATCCTACCAGTTCCCGATGAAATTGATTCCACCGTGAAGATGGGGCGTCTGGCGAAAATGCCGTAGGCACGAAATGTGGTAGGGAAAGCCATTTGGGCATAAGCCCTAGTACATTGACCTCTTGCAGATTTGAAACATTTGGCCTCTTTTGCCCTAGGTGGTGGACTCTAAAAAGGTGCTCCTTGACAGGATGCTGGCTCTAGAGGCGAAGTCTCTGTTGGCTGATGTGGGAAGAAAGAAAGGGCTGTAGATGATAATGAGAAAATGCACCATGTCTGGGTAGTCCAAACTGCTTGAAGGAACTAGCACGGCTCCCAGCCCAGCAGTTGAATCCCTCTCTGGTGTTCGAGTATGTGTATATATATATATATATATACCCTGACTTCATGGGACTTCGGTGGCATTCAAAACACTGAGCCATTAGCTGTTGTGTGTCCAGCATCGGCTGAGGACGTTGCCTGACTAGTAAAAGCAGCTTATGAATCCAGTCAGTGATTCACGCTCCAGGAAGGTGGCTCCGCCGAGAGTTTCTGAGAAATTCATGTACGTGGATGCGTGGAGGTGGAGATTTATGGATAGATGTATTGGGTTCCACCTTAAAAGTATGGACTTGCACCAAAATGACAGATTACTTGTACCTTTCCATTATAATTCCAGTCATCACATTTTATCACCTTAGTTGTGGCTGTTTTTCATATTTCAAAAATTATTGCATGGTTGATAATTACTTTTATCTTTTAGAATCCATTTGACACGACTTTCGGAAAACCAAAATGAACATCTGAAATTCAAAAATTGCTTTTAGACTCTTTTTGATTAATTTGATAAAAGTACTTCTAGTTAGAAGAACTTTTAAAGAACGCTCACCTCGTGCGGCTGTTTTCTACTATCTTTTCATTTGCCATTGAAAACAAAACACTAGTATCGTTTACAAGATTTTTACTTTTATTATCGATACGATTTAGCTTATCAAACAAGCCAAAAATTAAAAGAAAAACATAAAAAATAGAGCTAGAATATGCTTACTTACCAATAATAGCTTTTATTACATTATTCCTCAACGGACGCAGCTTTACAAATACAGAAAACATATTGTGACAGTTGAGTCCCCGAACTTTTAACTTTAACAACTTCAGATTTTCTTCAGCATTAATCTGATATTCTAAACTCAACCCCCATGATGTCCTTCACTTGCTCATATGTCACAAAAGCAATAGCTATTGACGGGACAACCTGAACAGAAAATTGTAGTTTACTCTTTGACCAGCAAAATAAAGTAACTTCTTTTAAAATTTACTTATAATCAAACCTTTTTAAGCTTGGCCAAACATGCACAAACTTAACTATAACATGTATCAACAAAACTAGAAAATAAGGTTATTAAATAAGACGAACCTTCACAGAATTGGGGACCAAACCCTTGTACAGTGCTCTGAAGCCCTCATGCCTAACAGTTTTCCTGAAAGCATCGATCATGCCAGTATATTCAAGGGGGGCCCTGTTTCTCCCATCGCCAGCAACAATTGAAGAAGCATTAGCCCATCCCACCATCTGCATTCTTCTGCGAATGACATCAAGGGGGTAGGCTACAGTTTGCCCGACAGTACCGGCTGCTGCCCCACATGCTAGCCTCGTTACAATGCCCAAATCATTATCGTCAACGAGCCCAAAGGGTTTAGATTTAATCAACCAATCTTTTAGAGATTCATACACTGCAAAATTGAGGCCCACATATGGAACCTAAAAACAAGAAATAAGTGTAAATTTCACAAACAAGACTCAGGAGCAAGAGTTGCCAAGGAAAAGAAAAAGAAAAGAGCAAGAAAAAAAAATTGGGTGACATTTTTAATCCAACAGTTGAACTTAGTCAAAAGAACTATATGATCAGCAGCCCTAATTTTCCCCAGCAGATCTAAGTTCACTACCTGCTCATAGGCCATAGCGATTATTTTCCCTTGTGCGATCATGAATCTGATTGTTAAGACTTTATGGCAAGTAAGATAACTGTGTGTGTGTAATTCTTCACAAGAGACTTTAATCAAGTAGACATAACAAGATAACTACTAGCAGTGTAACTTTCACATTGTAAGCATGGTAAATATGATAGGTAATATGGACAATATATTGAGCAGCAAGAAAGTTTTAGCCCAATATTTACCAGATTAAAACAGGATTGGTTCTTCGTAACAACCAATTTTTCTAAATACTATTCTCTCAGATTATATGACCACGTGAAAAGATAAAATAGGATTCTAGTAGTTTTAAGATTTATCTTTTTATTCTTTCCAGGAATACACACCACGTGAAATGGAGCATAGAGGTATGATTAACAGATTAATAGTCTTGTGCATTCATCAGTTCAACATAAAAACACTAAACCTAACACGTTATAATTTTCAAGGGTAATACTATTACTAGATGTTATAATTCCAGAACTTACGACTCCAATGACAGAAGGAAGCCAACCCTTATACAGACCACGGAAACCTTCCTGACGAAGCACAGTTGATAAAGCATGAGAAATTCCTCTGTATTGATAAGGGGAGTTCTCCGTCTGCAGAAAAGAGAAAAAAAATGCCATTATTTTCTGGAGACGCACTGTAGAAACTGCCACCAATTTTCAGTTAAAAGCCTACAAGAACACAAGACTTCAAAAAAAGTTCATTTTCATGAAAACCCCATACACCTGAACGGTTAATCGGCCCCGAACCATATCCATCGGGTAGGTTGCAGACATGGCAATTATTCCAGCACAAGCTCCAGCGCCCAAACGTAATAAAGGAGTCAGCTGTGCATCATCTGCAATAACACAGTGTAATGACTTAGATGCTCCTTATATCTACCCTCAAGAGTTGTGTACATTTATCTCACGAATTAAGAAAAACAATTTGAAAATGCTAGGCAATTACAAGAGTAAGGAATCAAATAGGATGAAACATAATCTTTCTTAACAAAATGATGTATAAATATCAATTTATACACACATCTGGTCAGGTAAGAGATTTTTTGGTAATCACCGTGGTACTAAGATCATGAATACCTCCGCTCAACTCGAACCAGAATCTATAAACAACTAGTATTCTCTTTGACAGTGGAATTATTCACATCCCATTTTAGTCTCTTATCCAAATCATTGCAAACAACAATTGTGTAAAAACATTTTTTGTTCGATATAAGATTGTCTTTCGTATCCAAATATTAACCAACGAAAGATGCACACAAAATGGAGATGCATAAAAAAGTCATAGAGCCATCACCCGGTCTCGGGCCTTCCAATGGGGTATAGTTGAACTTGTACAGACAGACCTAACTATTGCACACAAAGTGGCTGCGCAAAACTTGAACCCACTATGTACTTGTGGTTGACAGATTGAGATTCTACAGTTTCTACAACAAACCAAGAGTGGCCCTTGAAGATAAAACATCAAATAGTAGAAGTAACACATAAGATGAAGAGAGGAAACAGAAACAGCCCGATTAATAATCAATCTTGCACCAACACGAAAACACCGAATATGAAATCAGTAACCAATGGCTTGACCCAAAAACTGCTGATCAGTATTTCATGCAATTAGCTATGCAAGAAAATGACATAAAATTAATGCAAGTATTGCTATCAATTGTCAAAAATTCCCATACAGCAAGTACAATTTCCTGTGATTTTCATGACTTCTCTTTCAACTTAAATCGGTGTATGATAATGGTTACACGGAAAGCACATAATCATAGATCATAAACTGGGGAAAAGATGCAGTCATCATAGAAAGTAAAACTGAAAATGCAATTTTCCCACAGATGTCCAAAATATACAGAAAGGAATCTTTGCTAAGATAAGGTAACTGAAGAGCAGCTTTTATTGTGTACATACACTAACAAAGACGTACCATTGCCAGATTGCTGCTGGTACAGATACAATATACCCCTGTTGCAACATAAAAAGACACAGTCAGATGATGAAATACAAAAGAAAAATAATTTACTCGTTTTGTGATAAATAGATACCAAAGTCTACTCAATGCTGACTACAATTTATCTATCTAAATCACTTAATGGCATGTCAACACTAAACCTGCAATTTTCATTTACAATTACGAGAATATTTGGTTCTCTGTTGTTTTTTTGGTATTGGATTTATATTGCAAAGTTCTTCCTTCCAAAACAGTATTTTATTCGCATTCCATGTGGTAATAGTAAGCCTAAGCCAGTTTTCTCCTCCCTTTGAAATGGTGGCCAAAGGGAAACTGCAAAAATATTTTCGATTCATATGCAAGGAAATGTAAACGAAAGAAATACTGCCAAAATGATAGCAGTAGCACCATAAAAATATTTGTTTGGTGGAGGCACGTCTATATAATAAATTCAAAATGAAAATTAAAACAACAACTCTTACAACTTGAGCAAATTCTGTAATTTTTTATATAGAGACATACTTGGAGGCTTGCTCATAGCTGAAGAACTTGACCGCTGAATTTGGGACAATTCGAGCACAATTGGTGCCATTGCCTTTGAATAAGCCTCTAAAGCCCTCAGTTCTCCAAATATACTTTAAGCCTTGAACAGTACCATTGTATTTTATGTTATGTGGATTTTGGACCTACACGTTGAAAAAGCATCATGAAACAAGGAGAACACGTAAATAGCATTTCCAACATTACTGAAAGAAACCACAACAGCGTGATGCAAAAAGGAAAATGGTTTAAAAGAAAAGGACCCTAACAAAAAATTGATTTTGAAATGCTTTACATCATTCAGATTCTACTGAATACCAATGCAACAAATGGAATCTTGATTCTGAGTACTCTATGCAGTATCCATCAAGAAAAAGTATGTAACCTGTAGCAATATTTTTAAACGTTCCAACGGAGCCACAGCAGTTCGTGACCTGCAATAGACAGCAGAAGTTACTATAGAGTAGATAAACTTTAGACAGACAAAAAGAGGATGCCAAAAGTGGGAAAAAAATAATGCAGTACATATATGCCTACTGAAAGCGCATAACTGCATGAAGTCAAATTCATTTACACTTGAAATGTCCTTTTTAATGTACTCAATATATGAAAGGTCTTCAGTTTACTTTCTCTAAAAAAAAGCATCAAAGTTGGTTAAGTTCTTGATGCAGCTTCTGTCTTCTAGTACAAATCGTGGTCATCTTCATCAAATTTCTTTTACAGCTGTTTTTTTTAATTACTTGGTTTTCTTTGTTATTCAACCACTTGGCAGACAAGGCCACTCCGTACAACCGTCATACTTTCCGTACAAAAGCCAATTTCTTTTCTTTTCTTGTGTCTATTAGAAATCAGCAAAATAAAACAAGAATCGTATTGTCACACGTAAATAAAAACCATTATTTAGGGTAATGTATTCATCCTAAATATATTAAAGATTTCAACTTTTTTTTCTCTCTTTTACTTCTTTCAAAGCAAGAAAGTGAGTATAGTCCTTCAGTTGGAATAACCAGTTATTTCAGTTCAAATGAAAAAAAATGGAATAACAAAACCCATCATCACTTTCTTGTTCTCTCTTAAATTTCTCTTAAGATTTGCAGTTCCATATTAGAAAGTCAACCGTATTAAGAGGAGTAGTCCAAAACCTTTATAAATTAATCTATATTTTCATCTTTATTCAATGTGACATTCTATCCGCCTTGCAAGGTGGTGGCTCGTTTGGGCAGATGAATCTTAAAATCCGTGTCCTCAGTCTTAATCGGACCAAATTGCTCGTTGGAGCTTAATGAGCTATTATACCATCTTAAATTTGGGGGTCAACCTTATTAATATCAGAAGTCCAAACACTTTATAAATTAGTTCATGTTTTCATCTTTATTCGGCATGTGATTATGTCCCTCCACAATTTCCTCACTGACCAAATAAATTTTTATTATTCCACCAATATTTATCATGAAAAATTCTAACCTAAAATAAAGAAAACCACTTTAATGTATACAACGATACAGGCAAGTGCACACAATCTACATATACTTAGCGAATAAACTAATAACTAAATAGAACTTACACGCCTCCAGCTACGCCACCAGCGATGAGAGACTTGCCGACATTGTAGACCTGATATTTAGTAGGCTTGATCTCTTCTTTCGCAAGCTTCGCCTCCTCGGCGAGGTTCACAAACTTCGACACCGCCGATTCGCTGGTCTTCACATCCTCCGACGTCATCACGATATCCCCAAAAACTATTAGAAAAATCTAACTTTGGAAAAATTAACAGTAATAAAAATATGTTTGTAAAAGATCGATGATCAAATCCGCGATTCGGTCGTTAATGACAATACTCCTGGAGTATATGCACTCTCTCTTAGCCGCCGCGGCGATTGGTGGCGGGAGAGTGAGAGAGATTGGGAACTGCGGCACACAGTGTTTGGTGTGGTTACGAGCGGCGGTGTTCATGAAAAAACAGTGTAGTCGCCGGCTTTTAATTATGATGAACAGGATTGTGTGGCTTAAATTCTATTTCAGTCTGCTTCCATTTGGCCCAACCAATTTATAATATTTATGTTGATTAATGTGGAAATATTTTATTTGAAATATTATAATTAGCCCCTGCACATTAAATTTTTCTTTCTCATTCTTCTACCCATTTTTAACCACATATTTTTCAATAAAATAATATTTTTCATCACATCAATAACTTTTCCTTCATTTTCAACTACACATACTCCATCAATCTACTATTCCAGAATACATTCTTTCAAAATAATATAGGTCAACCTCACCCTTAGTAAGAGTTGGTGGACTATTTGATATTTAGCCACTGTTTGCCTCTTCTTAATTTAAAACTCTTCAATTTTTATACTCATTTTTAAAGTGTGTTTCAGTGTTTGATAGGAATTTTTGGGGGAAGAATTGATTTTTAAATTGTGATATGATGGGAAATGTATGGTTGAAAAAGAAGAAAAAAGTATTGATGTGATGAAAAATATTATTTTATTGAGGAATGTGTGGTTGAAAATGAGAATTGATTTACTGTAGAAAATGAAAATTTTTACCAAACAGGCTCAAAATCTGAAAGTCTACGAGAACATAATCTTGAAATTAATAAAATCAGGATTTGACAGGT